ATATGCATTATTGCATATATAACCCGAAAAGGGCACAAGATAGAAATAAACATATTACCATTCCTAAGAAATTATTTGCAAGCATGTATATAAGATTTGATTTTAGCCTTCCTAGTCAAAATATTATATCTTGTATCAAATCAAAGTTTACAGAATCCCGACGGATAGTCCAATAGAGTGCATTTTGATTGAAATCATAACAATAATGGATTGGGAAGAAAACCATACTGGTTCAGTCTTCTTGTGAAAATCTTCCAACCTCGACTTGAGATGCGCAACTGTATCATCGTTACGTGGAATTAAAGGCTCTCCAGTTTCCTTCACAACAAAGAAACTAAAAAATCAGCTCCAACCCTTTAAGATGATTGCATTAGCATCTATAGATTCAAACAGCAGAAATGATAAAATGTTCGATAAGGGTAGACACACAGAGAGAGAGAGAGAGAGAGAGGTCCACAGATAGCAAGGGGTGAAATTAAATAAAATCCTCATTTTTACAATTATATCCATATTAAAGAATCGTCATTACATCATCAACACCAGCAACTTTCGGAGGCGCGAATTTCGTGTGGTAAGTGCGGCCACTAGAAGGGTGGAGCCAACGGCCAGTAACTCTCTCCTCCAATAAAGCATCATCAATTACAAGGTTCAAAACCTTGTCAATCTTAACTCCACGCCTATCAAGCATCTCGTCAAGCTGATATAAGAAACAAATGAATGGTTCAGCTCGCAAATGTAATTTACAAATCCAAAATGTAGAAGTTGAAAGAAAAACTATACGAGATAGAAACGTATCGACCTTTTGTGCCTGGACAACGTTTCTCGGAAATCCATCAAGAATAAAACCTCTCTGACAGGAAGGATTCTTCAAGGCATCATCTATTATACTAACAACCACATCATCCGAGACAAGTTTTCCCTGCCGAATATAAAGCAGATAAAGCAATGGACAAAAATATCATTTTATGATAAATAATTTATTCCATTAGGGATTGTAGTATAGCATAGTAACGAATGGACCTTATCCATGGCCTCTTTAGCCTCAACACCGAGGGGGGTCTTTGCATCAACGGCAGCCCTCAAAATATCGCCCGATGCCACATGGCATAAGCAATGTTCATCCTCTATTATGGAGGATTGGGTCCCTTTTCCTGACCCTGGTGGACCTGAAGATTTATGCCAAATGTCCGGGGCGTTAGCATCACTAGTAGATCAATGTGATACAAAAACAAGAACGAAACAAATGACTTGTTTTTGTAATGCCTTCTCAAGAGCTAAAAGGCGTTACGGAATTTGATGGAAGAACGTGATTCCTCGATGAATGTAAACTCTTACCGACGAGAATGAGGTGCCTGGCGGGCTTCGACACGCACTTCATACGACTCGTGACTTCCATCGACGGCAGTGCACGTTCTCCAAATTCTCTGCCGCTGAGTTCCCGCGCTTTCTCTCCGGTTTTAAAAAACGAAAACTGTAAGAGGGCTGTGTGTTTCGTTGGTCACAAGTCACAACTAACTTGTCTTTATTTAAAAAGAGTTTTGCCTTCTGTTTTATTCTGAATCTTCCTTTTCCTACCTTTTTATACTGATGATACAATTATATAGTTTGTGTTGACTTCTAATTCTATATACGTAGTATTTTTGGTGTTTTGGAATCTTTATACATCAATTTCTAATGGTTACATATATGTGGACTTATATATTATATCGATGCATATTAAGATTTTTAACTTGGTTACACTTAATTTACTTAAGTTATAAATATATTATAAACCTTTTAATTATAAAACTTTCATATATATAATTATATTTTTATAAATGGTAAATCAAATTATATCTTCGCGAAGAAACGGGGGTTGGTTGATGGGTGCGGTTCCACGGACGTGAAACGTCACCCAGTCCAATTGGGCGTGAGCCTCATATGAAAGACTAACAAGTCACAAGTGAGGGAAGCGTGTTAGAATATACACTCGTGGGTTGTCTCACATCGGCTATACAGGGAAAATATGTATAATTTATAAGTTTAGTAGGCTACTCCTCCTATCACTAATTGGTTTCAAGATTGAACTCAACCTAGGTCCCACCTAGGCTCACTCTGCTTTTGTGGAGCCCATCTAGCTCACTCTGCTTTAATTAAAAAACTTTCATATATATAATTACTAGTGCGGTACTCGTGCGATGCACGAGCTAGTTTTATTAAGGTAAGCAGTTAAATTTAGATGATTGGAAGAACGTAAAATATATATATTGAAATGAAACACAATGTAACGTTATATATTATTAAACACATCATTGTACACAAAATTATTTGTTTGGTCTTTTGGTACATCGTCTATCGCATAAATTATATTAAAATTGTAGATAGTCTTAAATAAATCGGTTAAGTTATTTAGCAGAATATATACGATATTTTGTAAGTGTATGAAATTATTATTTATTTTGTAAGCGTATTCAATCAATTTCAAATTTGTATTCTAGATAATTAAACAAAACCCAAATTTTTAGGATGTTACAATGTGATTTCATTTTGAATTTTAAATTAATATTATATGATCTTGTTTTATGTTTAAAATAAGTCCGAATTAAAGAAAGTAGTAATCAAATGATAAAAGATTTTTAAATTTTAATTTGAAATTTGGCCCGATTTTTATGTAATCCAATTTTTTTTAATAAACATGATCTGCTACAATTAGGTAAAGATACATGTTACAGTGTTTTGTCTAATTCAAAATTCTCGATTGTATGGTAAACAATTTTTTTTTAAAAAAAAAAAAATGAAAGAATTTTGACTTTTACAAAATTGTCATTCCGACTATATGCAATTAGTAAAAGATATATGTGATAATATTTTGCCTAATTTGAAATTCTTGATTTTATTTTAATCAATTTTTTTAATTAAAATAGAGAAAGAAAATTGATTTTTGCATCAATCGAAATTTACCCAAATTAAATCAACAAAATATATAAATTTAGGGTGCATATTAGAAAAAATAAATTGTTGTAACATTTCAAGATTAAAAATCAACCGTAATTAGTTCTAATTAAAAAATAATAGTTTCCAAACAAAACACTTTAGTTAGCCAAAAATTTATGGTATGTAATATTGTTTCTTTAAGGTAGCATGATTTTTTGAAAGAAAAGTAACAAATACCATAATTTTAGGGTAGCGTTTAATGCTGATTTTTTTTAAAAAGAAAAAAAAAAAGAAGTTACTAAGTATGGAATGTAATTAATGCTAATTGAGATTTGACCAGAATTTGACCTACTATTTTTAAAAAATGGTAATTCTTTTTATATATATATAGATATAGATATCTTTATAAATGATAAATCAAATTATATCTTTCTGAGAATTTTGGTCTGACATCTTTTTAAAAATAACTGAATTATCTATTAATATTAATTGAAAAATAATAAAATTATTTTATCAATTTATTATATGGTATTTAGGAACATACTATAGTATAAGAAAGATAAGTCGTACAAACTACAAACAACGACTACTATTTTAAAATAAATAATAATATATAAATTTTAAAAGAAAATCTAAAATTCAATAAAAAAATTAAAAAAAAAATATTTAAAATTTCAAACAAAGCCTTCTCCTCTCTTTTCTATTAATTTATTTATAAATTGAAATATAAATTTTTCTACTAAAAGCAGCACTCATATAATATAGGGGTGTTGTATTAAATGTGATACAAAGTAATGAATTAGAAAGAAACCCAAATATCATTCACCAATCACCATGAAAAAAATCAAACCAAGACACAAACAAAAAAAATATATGTATATATTCAGTACACATTCACCATTATTGAACTTTGGAGAGAGTAGTAGCTGATAACTAAACACAATATAAATTCATAAAAAATTTGAACGTCTTGGCTATATAGTTGCAGCGGTTTTGCTACGAACATACCATACAGGAGCCAATTTTCTATACACAACAAATAAACATACCATATTAGTCGATTACTTAAATAACACTAATATAATTTTATTAATATGGTAAGTTTACTTGTTGTATATGGAAAGTCGGCTTCACTATGGAACCAACTGTTGGCTTTATAGCAAAATCGATAGTTGCAGATATGATTTACACACTAAGACTACCTATTAACTAATATATTTTACACACCATTAAGTCGACTACTACTATGATGTAGACCTACACTATTTGAAATTCGACCAAGTTGTATAATGATGCTCGTCTCAAACATCGAGTGAAAAATCTGAAAGAAAAATTTGAATTTCAGTCGATGTACCAATATTGTTGAAATGTAATTACTTCATATAAAATACAATAACATTTCTTGAGCTCTCTAAGATACATTTATGTACACTCAAATACAATTAATAGAACAACTTGATTAATGTCAATTTTCGTGAAACCTGAATATCTACTAAAAATTGATGAATCAAAACAAAAATAAAAGGAGTCACGCGTGTAAAGAAAAATGTGCAGCATCTATACAATGTTTTGGGTCTAATTTTGCTTGCATGGCACTAAATAGACCAAAGTCTTGAATGACATGGATAAAACTATATAAGAGCATTTCCAATGATATCGCTATAAAAGACTGATTTTTAACACATGCCAATCAATGATTGCAATGTTAATCCACATAGAAATAATGTTGAAAGACTAGAAAAAATTTGAATCATACTAGTATCTCCATTGCATCAATTTGATAAGAAGTTATTTGTATAGGTGGACCACAAAGCGTCCACCCGTCATCGGCCTGTGCTACTCGTCTCTCAAAGCGTCGTTTGTTCCTCTCCGGTGTAGTGTTTCGTTGCGCTCGTCGGTCGACTATGTCCAGGTAAGTTTCAGGGAGGGTACCGAGAGGTGGTCGAGCGGCTGGCTTCAACCGTCTCCATAGTTGGTCGGGGCCGAGGTAAGGTTCTCCTTTTCCCTATTTCTTCGTCCTTCCTTGGTGCTTGGAAGTCGGGTTTGGTATGGGTTGTGGCCTTGGTTGTTGGTTGTGTGAGGCCATCAGGTTGTTTTGGGTTCCCGCAGTCCTTGGTTGGTGTGTGGAAAGAGGAGGTGCTGGCCTCAGGTCCGGGGGTGGTCCGCTCTCGTGAAGAATTTGGCCGTCTGGTGTGGTTTCAATTAGCCGAGTTAGTCGCTTCTGGAGTCTCCAAAGTTGTATTCGGACTAGATTCCTATCCGTGTTGGCAGTTGTCTCCCGGTGTTGTGGTCGCAGCTTCACAATTTGTTGTCGGTTGGGAAAAGAGTTTATTCTAGTATTGTGTGTTTGTTATGTGTTTTGTGTTGTTTTGGCTGTTTATTCTAGTATTGTGTGTTTGTTATGAGTTTTGTGTTATTTTGGGTGTTTATTCTAGTATTGTGTGTTTGTATTTGTTTTATGTTGTTTTGAGTGTTGTTGGTGTGTTGTTTGATTCTTCTATTTAGATGTTTAGTTCTCTCCTCACAGGAATGTTTAGTTTGTTTTATAATGGTGAATTAGTGTGATTAGTTTTAAGATGCACTTTTGTTATAATCATCCTGGTATGGCCGCTTGACTTATTTCTAGTTGATGTCTAATTGTAGGGCAGGGGTAAATAGGAAGTTAGAGCTGTGGAAGGACACGCTAGAGTCGAAAGGCTTCAAACTTAGTAGGACGAAGACCGAGTACATGACGTGTGCTTTCAACATGGCTACTCATGATGATGGTGACGTTAGCCTTGACGGGCAAGTGGTGGCCAAGAAGGAAACTTTCCGGTATTTAGGATCGATGCTACAAAAAGATGGCGACATTGATGAAGATGTTAGGCATAGTATTGCAGCCGGTTGGTTGAAATGACGTCAAACTTCGGGCGTTCTCTGTGATAAGAGGGTGCCACAAAAGCTAAAAGGTAAGTTCTATAGGACGGTGATTCGCCCGGCGATGCTATACGGTGCTGAATGTTGGCCTACAAAAAAGCAACATGTCCAACAACTAAGAGTAGCAGAGATGCGTATGTTGCGTTGGTTTTGTGGGCACACAAGAAGGGATAGAATCCGGAATGAGGATATTCGAGATAGGGTCGGGGTGGTTCCAATGGAGGAGAAATTGGTTCAACATCGGCTGAGGTGGTTCGGACATGTCCAACGGAGGCCTCCTGATGCACCGGTGCGTAGGGGAGTTCTATAGCGGGTCGATGATGTTAAGAGAGGTAGAGGTCGGCCTAAACTCACTTGGGAAGAGTCGATTCGGAGACTTTAAAAATTGGAATATCTCCAAGGATTTAGCGGTGGATAGGAACGCTTGAAGCCTAGCAATCAACGTGACGGAACCGGTGACTTTTGCTCCAATCTCTTCCTTTTGTTTTGCTTTTGTTTTGAGTTTTATTTTGTTTTGTTTTGTGTTGTGTTGTTTTGTATTGAGCATTTTTTTTGTTTCTCTTACCACTGTTTCTCTTATGTTTCATCTCTAGCCTACCCCAACTTGTTTTGGACTAAAAGGCTTTATTGTTGTTATTGTACTCTTCCAAAAAAAAAAGAGGGTCGGGAGAAACTTCTTTAGCTCCCATGTTTTTATTCTCAATCCAATGCAATTCTAACTGCTGCAACAAAGGAATTCAATGCAATGCATTTTAATTCATGACATACTAGTTGAAAAGGAGATTAAAACTCCATGAGTCGAACACTATATTCAACAAGAAACAAATACTCCTACCAAAAGCATACATGCTCATGTTCAGCCTGTCGTCATTTTCTGATAAAAGTCGGGGATAAAAACACAAATACAATAATCATCATACCAAAATGCTTGATATATCTTCTTTTCAAAAGCCTGGTACCTTACCTACTGAAATTAGTCGTCATCTTCATTGCGGGACTTCTTTTTCTTCTTTTTCTTCTTTCCATCTGTGGCATCTGGAACATCTTTCATGATTTCATCCTTGCTCTTCTTCTTTTTCTTCTTTTTCGCTGTACCATCTTCTTCTCCTGCATTGGATCCATTCACGTCATTGACGTCACTCTTTTCCTTGACTTCTTCCTCTAATTTTCTCTTTTCCTTCCTTTTCTTTTTCTTTTCAGACTTTGCTTCATCTTTCGCATTTCCATTCACGTCAGCAGTAGCCTCAGCATCTGTGCCGAAGTTCGAGCAGAACAACACATCAGTTTGAAATCCAATATAAGATATGTTAAAGTCATCACAAGATAATATTTTTTTCCTTTCAATTTGGCGTCCTGAGAGAAATCAAGTCCAGGTGAATTTAAAAAAATATAACATATAAAAGAACATGCCCAGCAATTGAGTGAAATTAGTAATTTACATGAACACACAAAGTATAGGTATGGAAAAGGGCAAACCTTTGTTATCAACTGTTTCAATTGCAGATTTCATCACATCGAGATTTTTACGAGGGGCAACACCTTTATCGTAAAAGTCCAGTCGCTCTTCGACTTGTTCACGGAGCTTTTCCCCAAAAGTGGTTGTATTTTTGTCTGAAATACGAAAGATTAGCATAACTTTCCATCCATAAAATATTATATAATCCACAAGATGAGATAAACAAATGTTCATAAAGGCATATAAAACACTTACCGAGAAAACAATCAATACGCGAAGCAATCGAACACTTGTTGGCAAGATAACGAGCCATCCGGCCTTTATTCCGAGCAGACGCGCGTCCAATGAAGGAAGAGTGGAATATAAGACCATACTTTGGAGTGTTCCCTCGGGTTTTCAATGCCCTAAGCACCAGCAGAATATGGTTAAAAAAAGAACCATTATACACTGGCAATCAAGAAAACGTCAAAAACAGTCAAAGGAGCACCAACAAAGAAAAGCATAAAATATAATTTAAACAGATATGTTGCTATCGAAAAGAAATACCTAAAAAGAGCCTTCTCAGCACCAAGAATCTGAAGAGTTGATGACGGGCACTTTGCCAGGTTTGTAAGACTGCCAGCATGAGAAATCAGACGAGCACCAACAACTTCACCAATCAATGCAGCCAAATTAGGTGCAATGTCATTCATCTTGGCAACCAGATAATCATAGAGCTTTTTCCTGTACTCAGCAAGGTCCATCACCCTCTGAGCAAATTGCTTGACATTAATCAGGTCTACAGGTGACAAATCCTGTCCTGCAAAAACATGGAGAAACTTGCATGTTAATATAAGGGGATTAAATCCATGTGCGCACCTAAATCAGCATATGAACTCGGACTCTACAAATACATACCCATGGATGCTTTGGCAGCCTCTATGATCTCCTTTGCTTTATCTTCATCTCCAACTATGTCCGTCAGGCCAGACAAATGGTCTTCAGACAACTGTGACTTGTCTTCCACATACTTTGCAACTTTGGCATAAAGATAGTTGTCGTTGACAATCTTCACCAATTCAGGAAAGTGCCAAGAGTACCATTCCCTAAGAGAAATCAAGAGCATTTATCCAAACGAGAAAAAAAAAATGCATATGTAAATATATAAATATATTATTCTAAAGGACAATTGAATAATACATAAAATCACTAACCATTGAAATAATCAAGTAAAAGGATTTGAGAACCAACAGTAAAAGCATCTCAAAAACAGGTTACATCAAGAAATATGCTAACCTTACTCTCATGGAAAAGGAATTTATATCCTTATCAAGGGTGTCCAGAAGAAAGATAGCCTGAATAACCATGTTATCCACACGGTTCACATTAAATTTCACCTTCGCTCTGCTGTAGCTGTGGCCCAGACCAAGCTGTGCTTTCTCCAAATCGCCAGGCTGATCAAATTTAAATGGGAAAATTAGCAGCCACACACACACACACAATAAACACAAAACAATACATCCCAAGAACCAAATAAAATATTTAAAAACCAGGAATTAAGATATCAGCTTCCCTTCATTTGAAATAAAAATAAAAAATAAAAAAAATAAAAAAAAAAATGTGCTCATATTACCAAGTTACCAACCTTTAAGTTTTCGATGAAACGACTGAAATGCAATCGAACACCTCGAAGTAGCTCGAGAACAAATTCATTGCTTTGGCAGGGTATCTTAGTAACTTCGAAAATATGTGACCCAAGCTTCGGCTCTGCCACTCCCAAACTGAACTGCGCCTTCTTACGTTCTTTAACCTTCGGTAAATTGAGCTCCAAGAAGTTCTTCAGCTCGTCAGTCATTTGACCTTAAGTTCATGTCACATTAGTCAGTGATGTTAATTCTCCAGAAACGATTAATGAATTTGCAAATAATGTCCAAGATGGTAATCTTCAATTAATTAATACTACACTCTAAAAATTTTACAGTCATTGAATGGTTTACATTTTATACTATATCTCATTCCCCTTAATCAAACACCCCCACCAAAAGCACAAAGTAAACAGACGATTAAAATTATGATAATGGAATAGCATATTCACATGATTCTATGTTTCTTGTTTACCCATTCAAGAAAGATGACAGAAATTGACCACACCCAAACAAATTATAAATATTCATTCACATTGTACATAACTACACTCTTTCCGGTGGAATTGTTTAGTTCAAGATTAACAACATTTCGTCATTTCAAATTTCTTTCTAGACACAGAATTTAGATCCTTGCCACCTTCACATGATAAATAAAACGAACGCTCCCACATACACATACATTTAAACAGTCGTGCCTCTGAAAGCTTCTTTAGCTTCAGAAATTCTAAGTTCCATTTAAACTCAAAGGTTTCATTAGGTTAGTGCAGTAACATCACATATCATCCATTTTTCTCAGCAGGTCAAAACTGACAATAACACGAGCCCCAACATGTTATATCGGATCACAGAGTAAAAAGAGCACATTTTTCCCAACTCAAAAGCAAGTGAAGATCTACTTCATTATCTCCATGTACATACATAGTTGGACGTTTGCTCAATTAAAACATCCCCAATCAAAGTTAAGGATCAACAAGGCCTGTTCAAGAACAAAACCCAAACTCGAGAGCCGTGCATGAAATTTTAATAGTAACTGAAAACAATAAACCCCTGTTTGTTTTTACCTTCGGAGACAGCATTGCACTGGTTGAGAGCATCCAGAGCAGACTCATAGGGACTAAAAGCCGCCAGCTTCACCACCTTCCCGAACCGATTCAGGTCCGAAACGGAGTTCCGGACGGCTTCTGAGTTCTGGCCGACTTGATCGAGCCCGTGTGCAGAAAACAAACCATATCCGGACGCCGACTCGTACAACACGTACAGAGCCATCGTACAAACAACTTCACTTCCGCCTCTCACTCTCTGTTTCCAGCCTCTGCCTGTAAGAGAGCGGTGCTTGGCGGGCGGGTGAGCGAAGGGCTTTTAAGTTAGGGTTTAGGGTTTTTTTTCCTCCGCGATTAAGTACGGTAAGAGGACATCCACGTGGATATCATTGAAATATATTTTTGTCAAAACAATATTAATAGAAATTTATTCTCCTCTAGTAGGAGCTTTTGTCCCGTTTTAGGAATTATTTAGTTAGATTGTTTTGTGGGTGTGTTAGAGCACCCACAATGCTTTGAGTTTCTTAGAAAAAAATTACATGCCATGTAAAAAATAGACCTAGTCTATAAAAAAGTGTTCTCCAATGCAATTAAAAGT